CAACGTCGGTAGTTTGGCGCGACTTAGCAGTTCTTGATAGGACGCTGATCTAGTTTTGTACACCGCCCTAAGTGCTCGCTCCTGAATCCGCTCAAGCTTTCTCCGATCCGATGCATTACAAAAGTGCCATACTAGATGACAGTAGGTTAGATGGGGCAGAACTGAAGACCTGTAAAGTGATAGTTTAGCATTACAGGGTATCAAATTACGTAGCCGCACTAGGACCCCTACTTTTTGACTGGCCTTAGAGCATAGATCACTGATATGACTAGTAAACCTCAATATTTCATCGATTTGAACTCCTAAAAGCCGTATTTCCCCCCTTCTCTTAATAGTATGACCGTCAACAGAAAAATTTTGATTATCGTTGTTTTGTCAACATTTCTCGGGTTGATCGCTAATAGCTGGAACTTTTCTAGGTTGGTTGAGAGATAGTTGTTCTTGTACCACGATAGAGCTTTCTCTCCATGTATCTTGATACTTTGCGCGACAACGTCATGGTTCTTCCCCGTGACATACATCTGATGGTCGTCGGCATACATGCTCAAATTAGCATTATTTATATGGAAGGACATATCATTTTGGAACAAATTCCACAGAAGGGGGCCAAAGGACGAGCCTTGCGGGCAGCCGAGCACCATCCTTTTCCAGTCACTTGTCACTCCTTTTATTTTCAATCAATTGAGCCTATTGTCAAAGTATGATCTAAGAAGGTTGAGAGAATTTTGTCCAATGCCATAGGTCTCGAGTTTCTTTACGATTAGAGAATGGCTCAGAAAGTCAAAGGCTTTACTCAAGTCAGTAGACAGTATGTACACCAGTTCCTTTCTGTCAAAAGCTGATTTCCAGTCTTCCACGAGTCTAAGTAGAGTGGTCTGACAGCTATGATGTCTTCTATACGCTGTCATTCTCTGATGATAGAGAGTTGGGTCATAGTGCCCGGTGATTTGCTTACTGAGCATAATTATGCTCAAATGTCTTATTTACGGTAACAAGGGACGTGATGGGACGATAGTTCTTCGCCAGTTGTCTGTCACCTTTTTTAAACACTGGCGTCCACTCTCCCATTTTCCACGCACAAGGCCATCGCCCCAACTCGATACAACTGTTGTAGAGAGTCATTAGCGATGGGGCAACTCCACAGGCCACGTTCTTAAGGAGTTTAGGCGGTGCTCCGGGGTCCCACACACAGGACTTTTTGGGGTTGATATTTTCAAGCGCCAGTTTGCACTTGATCCTTGCAAGTGCACTTGATCCTTGCAACACGATTAAACACGAAGTGCGTTCCTAGGTATGCTTCTCTTAGAGTTTTAACGCTGCCATGGTTGTCATGGTTCTCTTCTGTGATGCAAATAGCATTGTCTCCTACAATGCTAACAGCAGCTGTGGTGAAATAGTTCAGTAATTGCTCAGCTACCTCGCACTGATCGTTTACAATGATGCCCTCTTCTGTTTTTAAACTGATTAAGGTGGACTCCTTAGTTTTGCTATTAATAAATGGCCTAAAGGCGTTGTAAAACTCCCTTGGCTTGGTTTTCAGCTCCTCTGATTTTGCGAACCAGTATTCCATGATAGCCTTCCTCCGTTCGCGTGTGGCAATTAATTCCTGTACTTTCTTGTCAATTTCTTGACAAGAAAGTTGCTGGGAAAGGCAATTTGAGCAAAAGTGAGGAATATTTAAAGGAAGAATGGGCCCAAGTGCACAGAGATACTGACAATTCCTTCAACTACAAAATAAATCAGAAAACACACTTCGGAACACACAGTAAGGAAAGGCTTTACAAGCGAATGCACTGTGAAAAGAGCTTCAAACAAAAACAGGTGTGACGTCAACACTTCAGGGTTCACAGTGATTAGAAACCTCACAAATGTACTCACTGTGAGTCAAACGCTTCAGTCAACCAGGAAATTTGCAAGGACACGTCAGGGTTCACAGTGGGAAGAAACCTTACAAATGTATACTCATTGTGACAAAAGCTTCAGTCAATTTGGAAATTTGTGAGTACTGTGACCTAGAGTCCTCAGTGGTGAGAAACCTTACAAATATACTCACTGTGACAAATGCTTTGTTCAGAAGTCAAATCCGATTGTGCATTCTGTGACTTGCTTCAAACACAGATTAGTATTCAAAACTGCACGACCAAACCCTCTGATTCCAAAAGCATACGGCCAGTAAATTCAGCTCCACCTAAGATTTTTGCTGTTCAGCGTAGTTACTTGGCTGCGCTTGCTGGACCAAACTGGGTAGCTATAAAAACTGTGAATTTGTTCTTATAGGTAAATTCCTTCAAACGGCTTTCAGCAATTGTGCAGTTGTCCCTTAATTTATAAGAGCATATGTACAGTGTAGACAAAGATGTTTATTTGTTTTTGATACCAATAAAACAATTTTGATTTAATGTCTTCACTTAGCTTGTAGCTGAATTTAAATATTTCCACACTTAAACAAGGCGTATATTGGATTATGTAAGAAAAACAGCTTCATGGTTTAGTTGATGACACAATTATAGGATAAACAACCTTAAGTGTGATGAAGTAAATCTGCCAGTCCAAGAAAACTAAGTATTATACATATTTAATGAACCAGTTGATCAATTATAGCCACTTTCCAGTCTTGTTGACCCAATATGGTTGATTCCCACCCACAGTGACATGGATTTTAAAGAATCTGAGCCAACAACAAGTACATTGTCCTCAATGAATGAAATTGTGCTGATGGAGTGGTGTGATAAAACCACATGCCAAGGCTGTGTAATTACTCCCGCATCTGTTTTCTTTATCACATCACTCATCTTATACAGGTTAATAGTTTGGCCTTGATCAACAGTTGCAAGCCATCCTGGAAAAGACAGTTCAAATTTAAGATCTGTTTAGTGTTTAAGATAACAAATTTAAGGTAAAACTGCACTCACTGTGCACAAGCAAAAGGTCAATAAGGGTTTTGCTTAGCCACAAGAACTAAACACCTCAAACTTGATTCAACACACACTAAAACTTAGTTCCGTTTTTTGGTGTGTTGTATGCTGTCACAAAGGGAAAACCATAGAACCTGGAGAAAGTCCTCAAAGCAAGGAAGGAGGCCAACAGAAAACTCAAAGCACATGTTGCACTAAGTGAGGAATTCAAACCCAGGTTCCAACAGTTAGAGGCAAGTTAGATGTACACCACATACTAAACTCTTCTAACCAGTTCATAGAACTGAGTTTCATGTATTGTTAGTGTTGACTCTATTGCAAGGAAAAGATTTTCCTGAGGAATTTCATCTGGGCCTTGTGACAACATAATTATTTATTTTCCTAAATTTGTACCACGATGCTAATCTACATGTACATGTAAGTGCTAAGTCTTCTGGCAAGATCCTGTCACCTTGAGTGATGCCAAGCCTATTATAAATATACATTTGTAGCAAGCTACAGGTACATGCAGTGGTAAAAATCACCCAGCTAACCTTCTTCTTGGCCTTCTTTAGCTTGGACAGCAAAAACACCATGGCCACCTTGACTGCTTGGTAAGAGAATCTCTTGCAGATTGGGAGGATGAAGGTACCACAATCGACCAGAGCTGTCTGACAATACACAACTGTATGGCAATACATGCTGGATTTCTAGAGGCACAGTATAAATAATTAAGAAATGTTACAGTTCCAGAGAGCCATATGACTGGTAAGTGAAAAAACTGAGAATACATCATAATTGACGCAAATGCTATCATATTTGGTTATTTTTTTTTGTTTCAATTCCTCGTGCTCAAAAACTTTTTTCAAACCTTGTACAGTGCTACCAACATTTGATGAAGGGAAAGGAATATGTGTGCTTGAAACCTCCATGTGTCTGTCAGGGTGAACATCTGAAAAAAAAAATTACTGAGTCAAAGCAAATACAAGCTAACACATCTATCAGTTGGATGAAAGAGTGCAATATTACATGACATTGTACACTTTACCCTAATTGCACTGTGGGGCACTTCAAAGCAGAAATAGGGACAAAGTTACTTAGGGGGCTTGCTATTGCTTTAACCCCGAGTCTTATTACACTTTAACCCATTTCTTAGAGGCAACATACATACCAGTGGGTTGGGTAAGTGAATGAAGCGAGATACCTCCTGACTCACCAACAACTAACAATGGGGGACCTGAGGAAATATGTTTTTAAACAGTTCTTATGCACAGTGCACAATGTATAAATGTAAGAAAACTCATGACAAGTAACTACATGTAGATGTAGTTACAATGTAAGGGAACATGAGGAGTGCAGAAGAACTTGGGAAAATGTGAATGCACTGGGTCCAAAGCAAATAGGTGGCTTTGGTATTTTGAAACAAATATAACTGGTTAATTAATACCACCACACTTTGACCTCTGTTTCTTTGGACATAGGACAAAATAAGGCCCAATGAATACTCAACAAGGTTTGATTTTTTTTTTATTTGAGGATACTAACATGTCATCTTTTAGGAAAAACCACTACTTTTAACTTCAATTTCCTGTAACTCAGTAATGTACCAGTATTTGCAATGGTGACCTTCAGTTTTAGTCATTTAATTGTAATTAGCACAATGTAAAAGACAGTCATATTTCTAAATTAAGTTTTTTTTAAATAATCTTCAATGAACATCCAGGCCAACTTAAGTTATCCCTTTGACCTGTTCCCTTTCACAAAACATGATAAATATACATGTCTGTTAAGGAGCTTGATGGGTAGCTATTAGTGGTTATGAAGTCTTTACTTGGACTGAAAGGTCTGAGGTCCAGCCCTAAAAAGTGTATTGATTGTCTAGGCACATGCTGTTCTTGATCAAGGCACTTTCATTCTAAGAAATCAATAAGTTGGGGTGGGAGGATGTGTAGCCTTCAACGAAAAATAAATTATGTAAGTTACGTAGTGTGGAGTGGCAACATCCAGCCTCTATTTATTTGCTTCATGGTTTGGAACCATTGATAAGTTCCCAACAGTAGTCCGACAAACCTGCACTGCATGCACGCCTCACCTTATAGACAATGTAGTTGAATGTGTACATGACTATAACTTGGAATTTTATTTCAAGCTTCGAGTTATGGCATTTAGTTTTGATATTAATCCTAAGTTCTTTTGAGGTCAGGAATCCACAAAATTACTTCATCATGCTTAACATACCCTCTTAAAAACAAACACCCCTTCTCCTTTAGAAAAAGAAGTAACCAGTATCCCCTACTAGTTCAGTTTTAATTACAAAAACCACTTTCTTTCTTGAAAAATAAAAAACCCAATAAAAAGTACCTTTTTCTGTACTAGAAATCAGTGCTACATCATGGATGTTTCTGGATGAATGCACCTTAGAAACTAATTCAAGGCTAATTGCTTGATTCTCCACCTGAATAGAATTACAGGGAACAAAAAGAATGTCTTTATCTTGAATTAATTTCTGAGTCATGTGCTAATCAATTTAAGCTTCAACATTCACCTCTCCCCCCTGAGGCACCACTTCCCCCCCCCCTGAGGCAGCCCACAGGCATTTAATGATGGGCCATGCTTAGAGGGGGGAGAGAGGAGTTTGCGGGAGAACAGACCAATCTTCAAAAGTTCAAAAGCCCAGTAGCATTTCCTGTGAGGGGAGGAGGTATCTCAGCTTCAAATTGATTTTGTTCATACAAAGTTATTAATTTAGTTTACTCATATTACTAAATCGATGTAATTTACAATATGACACAACTTGATGATGCCATGCAATTTCTGCATTCTTACCACAACTGAACATTTTTGGTGTGGTGCAATTAGTTCTAAAAGAATCTTTGAGTTATTACACTACACATGTAAGTAAAGGACTTTTACAATCCATATACACCACCAGGTAACTGTCTCTATAAGGAAATGTTGAAATAATGCATTTACTGTATGTACAGGTATGTGTTGCATGTAAAGTCTGTTTTGATGGTGGATAAAATCATTTTTCATAAATTAAATTGCATAAAGGTGAACACATAGGCTTACATTGTAGTTTAAGGTACCCTATATATTGGCAAGGTCAATGTGCTACATAATAACTTATTAGATAATACTATACATGTACCTTTCTACATCTCCATAAAAATATCAACCCTGATGACACAGCCACTGACACATACTCCTTCAGAGCTGCCATCTTTAGAGAGAGGTGTGTTCCTGAGCTCTCTGGGAGATTTAAAACAGCTCTAAAGATAATCAATAAAGATAGAAGATACCTTCATTCATACACTGCATGTTATACATATCACAAAACAGTTAAATGTTGGCATACTGAAGAAGACCAATGGTGCCAATTATACAAATTATACAACCTGGTTGATGTTATAATATTTTAACAATGGGAACAGCATTTCCCAGATGAGTTTTACTCTGCTACCTGGAAACAACTTAGATGCTTCCAATCAATTTGATGAGACAAGATAGGAAATTTTACTGTGTAAATGTAAATGCAGGCCGCATAAAGAAAACTGGAGGTGAGGGGGCTCAAAGGGAGATAAAGGACTAAGTGCTGGAGGGGAGATGGAGTCCATAAATAGAACTGATTTCCATAGGTTCGGTTCTCCCATTTACAGCAGTGCATTGGGCTTTGCCCTCCTTCAGCATCGGCTCAAAATCTCTCGTAACGTTAATCATGATCAGTGTGTCTACATACTTAAATTTGCCATCATTGAATGCATTCTTCACAAGGTCTTGTATCACAATCTCCTTTGCGGTAAATCCAAGTGAGCTCATGACATCCCAAGCTCTGATCTCCATGCATGACTTTCCCTTAGCAGAATGAGATATCCCCAACAAAGACATCCCTCCATTTTCATGAGTAACAAATACCGTACTCACTCCTTCCTCTAGTAATAAAGGTGGTGTTTCTTTCTGTAGATACATAACATGAAGTGACAGGATATAAAACTGCGCATATACTGGTTTCTCTGAAAATGTGTTTTATCTGGTTTCCCTGAAACCGTGTGTGTAACTAAGAGCTCTCCTACAGCGTATCCACAATTTAAAACAATTTAAAACAGCAAACACTTCAACCTGATCTAGTTTTAGTAATAGTTCGATTTGACAAATGTCGGCTTAGTTGTGTTACCTTCAAGGCATGGATTTCTGTTTTCCGGTCTGTGTATTCCAGTCCTAACACTATCCCTTGACTATTTTCCGTGGAAAATGAACGAACAGAATGCCTCGTCTTCAAAGTTTGAAACCACATTTTCGAGCATGTTTAGATCCCATCCGCCATCTTGAAAAGCTTAGTAACCGAGCAGTTAACACTTGATTTATCCCATACCATTCCCGTAATCATTATTGTAGGCGGGAAACTAATATTCACAAAAAGTAACAACAACAAGAACAAAAAACAATCATGATATAAAACTTAAAGGCGTCATAGTAT